ACTCTACTCTAGGAACCAGCACTGATCACTGCTGTACAATTAAACGGGCACTTGTTTGTCTCTCAGGCTGTCAAGCGTTCTTTCCATCTTCTGTGCTCTGCTGGTTCAGGAGAAGCCAGCAGTGACTGACACTCTGATATCTCTCCCATTTCTTTAGTCTCCTGCCAGAATGAGCAACTCTTGCTTCCTGATGCTTCTTTTGCTGGATCTTCTTCTAGACCCAGCTGATCTTGCAGGGAGAGCCAGTTTGGTGTAGTGGTTAAGTGTGCCGACTCTAATCTGGGAGAACCGGGTTTGATTCCCCACTCCTCCACTTGCACCTGGCTGGATGATCTTGGGCAAGCCGTAGTTCTGATAAGAGCTGTCCTTGAAAAAGAGCAGTTGGTGTCAGAGTTCTCTCAGCCCCACCCACCTCACAGGCAGTGTTCCCTCTAAGCTGAGTTAGTGTGAGCTAGCTCACAGTTTTTTAGCCTCCGGCTCACACATTTTTGTCCCAGCTCAGGAAGGACGGCTCCGGAGCAAACTAATTAATGCAGTAGCAAAATCACCTGCTCACAGCCTAAATGCCAGTAGCTCACAAAGTAGAATTTTTGCTCACAAGACTCCACAGCTTAGAGGGAACATTGCTCACAGGGTGTCTGTTGTGGGGAGGGGAAGGGAAAGGAGTTTGTAAGCCGCTCTGAGACACCTTTGGGTAGTGAAGGGCGGGGTATAAATCCAATCTCTTCTTCTTCCTCTTCTTCCCCAGGGCTCAGCTGGGGCTCTCTTGGGCAGTTCAAAGTACCCAAGGGAGCCCAAGCTGAGCCTGCGGGAAGAGTTCTTCCTGCAGGATCAGCTGCTTTGCGGGCTCTTTTGGGCAGTCTGGTTTAAAGGGACCGCCCAAAAGAGCACCAGCTGAGCCACCTCTCAGGTGTGTTTTGCAGCTTTGCTGCTGCTTTTTCCCCCCTCTCAGTATTTTTTGGTTTGGGTTTATTGGACCCGAAACAAATTCAAGATTTCTGGAAAATCCGGGATCCAAATTCTTTACCGGTATTGGGATCTGGGTTTTGGGGGGAATCTCAAAAAAATTTCAGGTCCAATAGACCCAAATAGGAAAATACTGAGAGAGAGAAAATTGCACACACCCTAGCGGGGACTAATAAATTGGACTCAGTGCACATAAAACTACAATACTATTGATCAATAGTGTAGACCTTTGATAAAGTAGGTTTGCATCTTGAGGGTATTTGGCCTCTTGCGGATGGAAGTACAGTTCTTGCTTGTAGCACTTCAGCTGATTGGCCAAATTTGCGTATAGTTGCGCTTGGCTGCGGAAAGAGTTCGAGAGTAATACATGACGGGAACCTCCCGCCCGTCCACCAACCAGTGCCCCAGGACCGCCCTGACCCCGTATGGAGAAGCGTCACATGCCAGGGATTTGTCAAAGTGCACCAGAACCGCGTTGGATGTCAGCAACTCTTTCACCACCCGGAACGCGGCGGCGTGTCAAGGGGCCCAGGCCCAAGGAGCATGCTTATCCAGGAAGTGATGTAGGGGTTCCACTACCGCAGCCTTGTGGGGCAAGAATGAGTGATAAAAGTTCAAAAGACCTAGGAACGCCTGCAGTTCGGCCGTGAAGGAGGTGGCCACATAGAGTGCCATCTCTAGTTTTAGGTCGGCCGTCCCGATCAGCTTGAGGCGGAGCTTGAGGATGATGTCCTCCACGTCCTGGAACTCGCACTCGATTGGAAGTTGGCGAAACTCGGCCATGTAGACGGTGGCTGCTTCTCCTGGCTCTTGGGTACGTGATAGCAAATCTATGCGCTTGGCCATCTTGGTCGGCTTTGGTGCGAAGTAACCTGTGAGGGCCTTGATGATGTCATCATACGGGGTCTCTGCCAACTTCTTTGGAGCAAGGAGGCCCTGGGCCAGGCGAATTGTGGCCACTCCACATGTGCTGAGGAGTAGAGCCCGTTTTTTTCCTGTGTCGGTGATCTCCTGGTAGGCAAAGAAGTTGGTGAGCTGCTCCACCCACGCTTCCCAGAACTCAGGTTGTGCAGGGTTGAAGACCTCGAGGTATCCCAAGATGGCAGCCATGACTCTCGAGCAAAGTGGGGAGCGGTGTCCTGGGGAGCGGTGTGTGGTGCTGCTCGTGAGCGATGTGGGGCGTGGCAGCTTCTGATGGATCGGTGCTTGGCAGGAGGAAGAGTCAGGCTCGCTCATCGGAATCCCACCTTCGTCGCCAGTATAATGTACTGAGTCAAGGCGTGTTGATAAGTGAAACAGCTCATAGTTTATTTCAGCTCGAGAAAACAAGACAAGGAAAGCAGGACTGGAGGTCTGTTTATATTCCCATAGTGAACCACACCCACCCATACACCCACACCCGTGATAGGATTATTTACAGTGCACAAACATTCTATAGGTCACTCGAGGATCCTGACTGCCCAATTGGGTGCGTTCTAGGATCCTTGCTGGCTATTGCCTTGGAGAGCGAAGCTTAAGCCGTTTGCATGGGTGTGTGAGGACCTGACCGCATGTGCGGTCTATGTAAGAACATAACAGTCCTGTTGATTTTAGTGACTATTGATGATACCGTAATAGTTGTTTTAATTGGAAGCTGCCTTGAATTTGGTTGGAAGATGGCATAGAAATATCATGACAAGTAATAAATGCCATCATCTGTCCCATATCCTAGTCTGAGCATGTCTGTCCTCTCTTCACGGGATAAAAGGACAAGTCCTTTTGTGGATCAAACACTGGCTAATTAACAGGAAACAGAGAGTGAGTATAAATGGGCAATTTTCTCAGTGGAGGGTGGTAAGCAGTGGGGTACCACAGGGATCAGTACTTGGTCCGATGCTTTTTAACTTGTTCATTAATGATTTGGAGTAGGGAGTAAACAGCGAAGTGGCTAACTTTGTGGATGACACGAAGTCGTTCAGGGTGGTAAGAACCAGGGAGGATTGTGAGGCACTCCAAAGGGATCTGTCAAGGATGGGCGAGTGGGTGTTAACATAGCAAATGGGGTTCAATGTGGCCAAGTGCAAAGTGATGCACATTGGAGCCAAAAATCCTAACTATAAATACAGGTTGATGGGGTCTGAACTGGCAGAGATTGACCAAGAGAGAGATCTTGGAGTTGTAGTAGATAACTCACTGAAAATGTTGAGACAGTGTGCAACTGCAATAAAAAAACGCCAGCACTATGCTAGAGATTATTATGAAGGGAACTGAAAACAAATCAGCCAGTTTCATAATGCCCTGTATAAATCAATGGTGCGACTGCATTTGGAGTACTGTGTACAGTTCTGACCACACCTCAAAAAGGATATTATAGCATTGGGAAAAGTGCAGAAAAGGGCAACTAGAATGGGTTGAAACACTTTCCCTATGAAGAAAGGTTAAAGCACTCGGGGCTCTTTAGCTTGGAGAAACGTCGGTTGAGGGGTGACATGATCGAAGTTTATAAGATTATGCATGGGAAAGAGCAGGTAGAGAAAGAGGTACTTTTCTCCCTTTCTCACAATACAAGAACTCGTGGGCACGCCATGAAATTGCAGAGCAGTCAGGTTAGAACAGATAAAAGGAAGTACTTTTTCACCCATAGAGTGATTAACACATGGAATTCACTGCCACAGGAGGTGGCGGCGGCTACAAGCATGGACAGCTTCAAGAGGGAATTAGATAAACATATGGAGCAGAGGTCCATCAGTGGCTATTAGCCACAAGGTATAGATAGGAACTCTCAGTCTGGGGCAAGTGATGCTCTGTATTCTTGGTCCTTGCGGGGGGGGGGAACAGTGGGAGGACTTCTAGTGTCTTGGCTTCACTGGTGGACCTCCTGATGGCACCTGGTATTTTTGGCCGCTGTGTGACAGAGTGTTGGAATAGATGGGCCATTGGCCTGATCCAGTGTTGGCTTCTCTTATGTTCTGGAGTAGTCCCTGTTCATGTTTGAGCTCTCTTTACAAACACACTTACTTTGATAATACATTACAGATTAGTGCAGTTCAACATAAGATGGGAAAACGGTGGTTTGCAAATTACCAGACCTTTCAGAACATCCTCCTGTATTTAGGCTTAATGAGTCTCTCTTCCTAGGCCCAAGACCAACCATGTCCAGCAACCCAGGAAGAGGAGGAGGAGGTGCGGGTGCTGACTCTCCCTTTGCAGGCACATCATGCTATGGAAAAAATGGAGGAATTTGTATATAAGGTAACTGGCGCATGGTCTTAACTGGTTTAGTTATTATTCTTTAATGCTCTGAGGTAGCAGAGTTTCTAGCACATCGTATTGGGCTTTTCTCATTGTTTTCTTCTCCCCATCACCTCCTTTCAGGCAAATGATATTCTACATGTAACAGCTTCAGTATGGTCATGAATACCAATTCTAGTGCTTCATAAAAATTTGGATCAGCTGAGCTGTTTCTTGGCAATAAAATAACTTTTTGCTGGAGATCCTGGAGACAACCCCCTTGGCTAATAGATTGGAACTTATAAGAGGTGTGGGGTTTTGCAGGTTTGAATGAGGTGGTTGTTTCCCCCGAGTCTGCTGTGGCCAGGTGTGCCTTGGAGGCTCCTAATACACTTTCCTATGTAATAAAATAGTGTTGGCGTGCGGCTCTGGGTGGAAAGTCCCATTGCACCAACTGGTGGTGCCATCAAGCCCAGCCTGAAATCTCCCAAAGTATTTGCCTGTGGGTAAGGGACAAGCACTTAACCGTATTTCACAGGAGAGACCAGTAACAGTTCTGGGAGTCTCCTAGGTATAACAGCAGATGATTGCTCTAGTCCCAAAGGAATATCAAAAACAGTTGTTTGTATGATTTGGTGTGTTGTAGATCTGGGAGGGTTGCTGGAGAGTTATCCCTTATGATGTGCTGCCTGACTGGCTGAAAGATAACGATTACCTGTTGCATGGGCATCGGCCCCCCATGCCATCTTTCAGAGCCTGCTTCAAGAGCATCTTCCGCATACACACTGAGACAGGCAACATCTGGACGCACTTATTAGGTAATTTCTATATTAATGTTAGAAATTATTTTACCAACTGTTTTCCCCCTTCCCTCTGGAGAAACAGGCTATAATGTTAGGAGGTGGGCTGGTCTTACACAAAATGGTCAAAAGCCCTCCACCTCAGGGAATTTGTTGGGCAGGCTTCACTCTAAATTGGGGTCTCCCGTATTTGTGGTTGGCAAAGAATTTCCAAGTAGAATGGCTTGGAAACTTGGAGTATATGTATGTGTGTGCTTTTTTTTTTTTTTTTGTCTTTTGGGGGGGAGGGTCCACACCTGGATAGCCTAGGCTATCCTGATCTCGGAGGCTAAGCAAGGTCAGCCCTGGTTGGTACTTGGATAGTAAACCACCAAGGAAGTCCAGGGATGCTACTCAGAGGCAGGCAATGGCAAACCACCTCTGAATATCTCTTGCCTTTAAATCCTTGTGGGAGCACCATAAGCTGACTGTGACTTGACGTACTTTCCTCCTCCACCACCACCACCTCCTGGAGATTATTAATGCTTATGGAACATTGGATAGTATTGTGGGGAGGCTGCATGTGGTGTCCATCCTTTTTCAGTATGGAGAACTGAGTTCTGATTTTCTGGTCATTTCTAGCTCTGCGGTTGTAGGAGTACTTTGAGATAATGTTACAGGAGAACAGATACATATTTTCAGCCTTGACACTGGCTTACATATATATTTTAATTGTTTCTGTCATATAATACCTTGCAATCTAACCACAGGATTTTTCACAGCAGCTTGCAAGGTATAATAAAATATATCACATTAAAAATGGCATATATTTCTTGTTGGAAATATTCACTTGATACCCAAAATTATACTTGAGCTAATTTTGTTGTTTCTGCTACCTATTAAAGTTTTAATAGCAGCATATTGGAAACATATCAGATGTACTCCTTATTTTAAAAGGTAGACTAAAATATAGGAGCTGTGACATTGGGATAGATACCTTCAAAATTGAAAATTGCCCACATGGTCCATTGCATTCTGTGTATTTCTCATATAGTTGGTTATCATTTTGGTATTTACAGAGGAACCCACTTCTCAGTACCATAAATATCCTCTGAAATATAACTCCATTCTGGTTTCAGTTACTGGACACGAAGGCATTTCAGTATTACACTATAGTAGTATACTATATACATTACTTTGTGTTTACCTGTTGTTGGAACACTGTTTAACTTTCTGTGGCCTACTCTTTACATTCTGTTTGTTCCTGTGAATCAATGAGCACCATAATCCTTTCTTCTCTTTTTTATTCTTGCTGCTTGTAACATAAAAACAAAGAACTCGTTACTTTAAAAAAGTTTTTTAAAAATCATACATTTTTAAAAATCATACATTAGGTAGGTCTATTGGGTTTTGTACGGGGTTGTGTGGCTGAGCCAGTTTGGTGTAGTGGTTTAGTGTGCGGACTCTAATCTGGGAGAACCGGGTTTGATTCCCCACTCCTCCACTTCCACCTGCTGGATGACCTTGGGCAAGCCATAGTTCTCACAAGAGCTGTCCTTGAAAGGGTAGTTACTGTCAGAGCTCTGTCAGCCCCACCTACCTCACAGAACGTCTCTTGTGAGGAGGGGAAGGGAAAGGAGTTTGTAAGCTGCTTTGAGACTCCGAGTGAATGGCAGGGTATAAATCCAATGTTGTCTTCTTCTCTAAGCTGTAGTTTTACTGTCACTATGTACATGGTCATCTCAGCACAAAGGGCCTGCAGTTATATCTGTTAGACAGAGTAACTGACTGGTGGTTGTGGAAAGTGCTGTCAAGTTACAGCCCCTTAGAGTTTTCAAGGCAAGAAACGCTCAGAGGTGGTTTGTCATTTCCTGCCTCTGCGTAGCAACCCTGGTATTCTTTGATGGTCTCCTATCCAAATACTAACTACGGTTGACCCTGTTTAGCTTTTCAGATCTGATGAGATTAGGTTAGCCAGGGCCATCAAGATCAGGGCATGTAACTGTCTAGTAAGATTTAAATGGGAGCCATAAATGGCAAATCTCCCACTTAAAAACTGCTTCATCAGGTAACAGTTTTGTGCCATTTGCTCTTCTTGTATACATGTGATCCCATCGCTAAGTCCCAAGGAAGGGAATTGAGTTTTAGGTTCTTTTGCACAATAACCTTTGATATTAGCCTTTTTTTTTTTTAAATCACATGACCTGGCCTCCACTATTGGGAAAATTAATGTCATTGTCCTCCAGATTTTAGTCTGTCTTGAGCATGCTGAAATTCAAAACAAATAGTGTACTCCCCACTGAACGCTTGTTTTTTTCTGTAGGTACAGGCTCCCGAGATATTTATCAGATGCTTAGCCGTACATTCTCAAGGACAGGAAAGCTGCTTGCTAGGGAGCGACACCTAGTTAGTTATATTGCAGTCCTTCCAAAGTGGCACCTAAGGGCATAAAGAGTGTTTTTAAAAAGTTAATGCAATTATCTACACCTCTGCTTCCTGTAACAATAAATCAGATTCTAGCAGGTAGACTGAAAACTCTGTCCTGCTTTTTCTCAAGGGACTATTAGGCATTTTGTAGATCTTGTTTGTTCTTCTAACAGTCTGGATATAGAACAAACCTTGACAAGGATCAGAGCCACAGGAAGGTAAATCCCTCTAAGACCTGCGGTCTTCTTTCATTTAATCTAAAATAAAATCAGTGGGTCAGATTTAGCTTCTCTGGTAATTACTGGGGAAGGAAGTGAGTCAAGCTTGAAGGATTACTTGCCATTCTTTTGTGTGCAAAGCACTTGAGGCTGGGATCCCAGAAGTAATGGCTTCTACTGTACCACAGCCTACTAGGAAATAGGGAGTCCTGTCTCAACATTTTTTTAATTGAAAAGTCACAGTTGCAACGGAAATTCAGGTTGTATGTTATAACACTGAGCTGGAAGGGCTGGGGTGGGGGAAGGTGCCTGAAAGAAGTGTCTGTTGGAATGGGAGTAATTACTGCAGTTGCTGTGCCGGATAGTGCCACATACAATAATCCTGCCAAACACTGGTCTTCCCTTTTGTTTAGCGATGCTCAGCAGGACGATTGGCATAATCCTCATGGTGTGTAGCTGTTAAATGAAGTATGTGGTACTCCAAGCATAGAAGCCTCCTAATGTTGGTCTGGTTAATGCCTTCGTCTCACTGTAAGAAGAAAGATCAAAACTGTGGGTTAGATCCAACGCCAATTTTCTACCTGCATGACAATCTTTGTGAATTCTCTCTCCCATACTATGCTCTATCAGCATTCCTTTAGGTTTCTTGAACCCTTGAGGACAGCATTTTAAGGGGCACTGTGAGCTGTTCTTCTGTGGGGGGGAGTAGGGAAATCCCCATTT